TATGGAGGATTGCAGAAAGAAAACTTATTTTAGTTTATCATTTTAGCACCCCAACTTACAATTATTCCAAATTTGCACTTTTGACCAAAACAATATTAACAACTTCAATCATTGATTTATCATAATAAACAAATTAATTAAAAAGAAAAAATAGTTGCAATATTCCACTCATTCATTTATTTTTAACTTACTGAGGGCTGGGTTCCGGTGAGAATGAGAGGTAACGTGAGAAGTGTAAGAAGGGAGAGGGACGGATCCAGTTTTTTTTTCTCAAACGGTGGCACCATTTGACCATAAGAAAAAGATATAGGGAAAAGTTTTCAAACGGTGGCACCGTTTGACTATAAGAAACAAGTATACGAATTTTTTTTTAAACGGTGACACCATTTGATTAAGAAAACGACACTAACAGGATTCGAACTTGGATCTGGGGTGGAATAAAAGCCTTGCAAACCTACTCTACCAAATAAAACTTGTTCTCATTGTAATTTCAAAATGCATACGATGACACACGACAAATTAATATGGTTGCACCATTCACGAACCTAAATTTTTTACCTTTCGGCAGAGAAATAATACGGTGGCACGTGCCACCTATACTACATAGCTGGGTCCGTCCCTAGGATATCCATCTTTTGATGAAGATTAGGATGAGATGTACCAAGATGTATCGGATCAGTCCTTGTATCAAACGCGATTAGTGGGTGAGTTTGAGATTAAAGGTGATAAAAGGTCCAGATCGTTTTCTTACGTTTCATACATTAACTTTTTTTTTCACCAGAAAGGGAGGAGAGAGATTACACCAAGCAAACCCGTTCGAATATGAGAACCTTTCTCTTGTGAAATATATCATCATCTATATTATATTATAAAGTATTTATAAAAACTCTTAAAAACATATTTTATACATGAAATACTGCTTATTGATGCATATTACTTAAAATTCAAGATTACAAGTAAATTATGATAAGTACAACTTATTAAGCTCCATATTGGAATTCGTGTAACTAACTGTAGACAAATATAATCAAATACAAAATAAAATTCTCATTTTACATATATATAAAATATAATTGGATAATTATTGAGTTTTAATAGAATAGTTAGTTATTATCTTTATAAAAAATATATTATTAAACCAAAAATAAATTACTTCGTCATTAAACCTAAATTAAATTATAATAAAAAAATAAATTAAAGAACTTACAAAAAATAGAACTTTTATATTTTTTTTAATTTTTATGATATTTTCAAATTTATATTTTATTAAAAAAACATTATTGTTTGCTCAAAACCACATAAATTCGTATCATAACATTAATGTAGAAATCATTAAAACCAGATAAAAAATAATGTTTTTTTAGCAATGGGTTGGAAGTTCTGTTGTAGTAGAATGTGATTTTTTTTAGATTTTACGTTTGCTTTTTCCATATTGCATAAATTTATAGAAAATTATTGGAGAGTTTCAAATGGACTGTTTGACAGTTGTTGAATGGTTTAGTTCAAAATGATTAAGTTGTCAAAATGATTAAGAGACTTTTATGATGTAGTGCAAAATGAATTATAATTGTTCAGCATGAAATTAGGGCGCTGAATGGTTAAGAGTGACCCAAAATACAAAAACATTCAGAGGGTTTTAAAACCATTAATAGACAGATTTTTTTATTCACATCTTAATGATTCAGATACTACCTCTTAATAGAACTATTAAGAAATAAACAAACAGACCCAGAGTCGGGGTTTTTCAAGTTTTAAATGGTGTTGTTTTAGTTTTATATTTTTTAAATTAAAACTACTCAATTTCATAGTCGGTTCATTTACTGAGGGGCCGTTTACCTAAATGCTTACCCGGTAAGTGCTTATCGTTAGGAGTCAACACCATAATTTATTTTACCGGGTAAAATTGTAGTACATCAAAACGTATTTATGCAACAATTTACCTGCTAAGCGCTTACGGGGGTAAGAGTCGTCACCCTCACTTACCAGGTAAGACTCTTCATCCTTATCATCGCTCTTACTGGGTAGGATTCTTGTCCCTTGCCATGTTCACTCGGTGAAAGAAAATTGTTCAATAAGTACTTACCGGATAAGCGTTTAGTAAACGACCCCTGAATCAATTCAAGTCAACCCATTTATGATTTCCTTATTTCAGATTTCTACATTTTTAATTTTATCTGAAGTCAATCCAACCTCATCTGATTCAGGTTCGATCAACAGTCTAGGGTTTTGTTGCGGACTATAAGATATTTCGGATCTGATTTATCGAATCTTGAAAAAAAATAAAGAAAAATAAAGGCAACCATTATAACAAACACAAACTTTGTTTTTGTCTTTGCCTTTGAAGCTTCTATTTAGGGTTTGGTGGGTGTTTGACCAAACCCCAAAAAGATGGTGACAAATGGTCCTTTCATGCTTTTATATGTGAAGACAAGTTTAATCACATTTGTGTTCCTCTTACCTTTTACATTATTAAAATTCAAATTTGATTACTACCCATGATCAATTTTTGAGGGCAAAAATGTAATTTCACATTGTTAATCATGTTGTGTACTTATAGTGACGATGTAATATCGGAGGAAAATGTTGATTACTGACAATCCCGAAGGAGTCCTACACAAAACTAGTATTTTAAGAACAGAAGTGAGAAGACATGTCACTGTTGACGATAGCAGATGGGTTCAAATCTGTCTCTTGCTAGTAACTGATCCAAAAACTTAGGTGACCAAGAGCCATAGGATGTAAAAGAATCGAAAACCGAATAATTCAGCTGAACCAAACGGTTTTGGATTATTCGGTTTGTGGGTTAAAACGGTTTCGTTAAACGAAAAAGGTAAGTTTCAGTTTCAATTTTTTACCATATCGGTTAACAGAATAACAAATTATACTATTATTTTATATAACTTATTTTAGGTGAATTGATTTGAACATATATAAAATTAACATTAGGTGAATTGATTTATCTTTTAACTAAAAAAAACAAGAAACTGAGGTATTTTCAACAAAACCATCTAGCATTTTAACATGATTGCAACACCTTGCGATAATAAAACAATCAATCTGCCCCTGCGCGCCCCCGGGGGGGGGGGGGGGAGAGAATAACTGTTCAAACGAGGGGGTGAGGGATTTTGTCAAAATGGATTGGACCCAGGGACGAAACTATAATGGTGCATACGGTGGCACGTGCCACCGTATTATTCATCCGTCAAATGGTAAAAAAAAATATGTTCGTGAAATGTGCAACCTTATTAATTTGTTGTGTGTCACCTTATTTATTTTTAAACTACAATGGGAACAAGTTTTATTTAGTAGAGTTGATTTGCAAGACTTTTATTTCACTCAAAACCCTTTGTTTTATTTTAATAAATAACATTAATTATCTAAAATAATTGGCTCATATCTTACAGTTACCACAAACTATTTAGTTCTCACTTGATTAGATCTATATATATATATATATATATATATATATATCGGGTGTACTCAATGTGTCCGAGCCTGTCCCACGGATGTATTAGAAATGATAAATCAAGCAGGTTTTACATGAAGAAGATTTGGCTCAGCGGGCTCGCGTCTGATTAGCTAGTTGGTGAGGTAATAGCTGGAGCGCATACTGTGTTTTCTGGGTTGTGCTTTTTGGATATATATATATATATATATATATATATATATATATATGGTGCATAATTTTATAAAAAGAAATAGGCCCATAAAGAAAGGGGTAGACAAGCCCAACAAATTAAACTCAATTAACCCACAAGTATGTAAATTTGTTGAAGTACAAATTTGGTAGTAAATACAAATTGTAACTTAAATAACTTTATCCAAAATAAAATAACGGGCTGTTTGTCAAACGTTTATTAGGTACATGTTTATCGAGTCATTTACCTTACTGGATTAACATGATAAGAACCGAAATCTTATCCAATAAGAGGTAAGGCAAGGAATAAGACTCTTATCTGGTAAGTGAAGGTGACGACTCTAACCGATAAGCGATTACTAGGTAAAATTATGGTACATGGTATCATTTCAACAACCAATAATATTACCCGATAAGGTTTTTGAGAATGATGACTCTTATAGATAAGCACTTATCCGTCAATTATTTTGTAAACAACCTCTAAGGGGCCGTTTACTAAACATTTGCTTGGTAAACACTTACTGGATAAATTTTCTTATCGGATGAACATGAGAAGGGTCAAGGGTAAGAGCAATGAGAATGATGGAGAGTCTTACCCAGTAAGTGAGGATGACGACTCTTACCTAGGTAAGCGCTTACCCAGTAAATTGTTTCATTTAATATATTCTGATATACTAAAATCTTACACATCAAAATAAATCATAGTGTTGACTCCTATCGATAAGCACTTACTGGGTAAGCAATTGGTTAAACGACCCCTAAGTCTTTTAAGTTTTTTTCCAGTTATGTCCCCTCACTTAACAGATAAATTTTAAGAGACACAATCAGAGAGACCATTTTTATAGCAAAATACATACCGTAGCAACCATTTATGTATTTATTGAAGTTTTGGAATGATGTTCGTAGTTTAGGTAAAACTATAGGGACCAAAATTGTAATTTACTTTTTTCTTTATCTTCTCTTAAGGGTTGTTTGGCAATTGCTGAATGTTTTAGTGCAGAATGATTAAGTGGTCAGAATGATTAAGAGGCTATCATGTTATGATGCAAAATGAAATATAATTGTTTGATAATTATGTACAATGAAATTAGGGCTTTTAATGGTTAAGGGAGATCCATGATACAAAATCATTCAGAGGGTTTTAGAACCATTAAAAAACATATTTTTTTTGCCAAACAAAATTCACCTCTTAACGATTCAGAGGTTGCCTCTTAATGGAACTATTTATACATAACCGGATTATGGAGCGGGTTACCCATACGGGTCGGGTTTAAATCCGTTATCATTTTCGTTTGGACTTTTGAAAGTTCCCGTTTTCATCAAATCACACCTCTTCCATTCAAACTCCCTCAAATTCTCTTCCTCCGTCAAGTCGCCGTTGCCGACTCCGATCATCGGCAGAGATGAGTGGACACGATTCGAAGTACTTCTCCACAACTAAAAAAGGAGAAATCCCTGAGCTTAAAGAAGAGCTCAATTCTCAGTACAAGGTTTTGCATTTGATTTTTCGTTATACATACATGATATACACTTGATTATATATCTACATATCCTATATATAGATGCGCATACTGATCCGGTGATGGAATAGATGCAATTCATATAAATTCGTTCGTTTGCATTTTGATGCCCTTGAAACTCTCGTAATTGTGCCAGTTGTGTTATCAGATCTATAACTGTGATATGTCATCAATCCATTAGGTCAATTTCAAGTTGTTTATTGGAGCTTCTGTTGATTTGGTTGCATAAAATCTAACAAGGTGCATTGGTAAATTCCTGGGCTTGATTCTATTAGGAGAAAAAAGGATGAATGTTGAGCAATTCCAGAGAGTATATACTATATAGGGACGTGGGAGTAATACAGTGTTTGTTCAGGGACTTGTATGTACTTTCTCAGCTGGTTGTTATTTTCTGTGTTGGGCATTTATTGGCTTATTGTCTTGTCTGAACACCTATATCTATTATGTTCAATGTCGAATCCAAAGAAGCATAGACTTAAAACGGTGTTCAAGTTTGGTGTGTTTATGAGATTGAAGGCAGATGAAACACGTACATCCCTATACTGTTAGAAGATCATAAGCAGGAAGAATGCCATACAAAGTTTCATATGGAGACTTGTTTAGAAGAATGGGTGTGGGATGTTGATTGATGGTGTACACAGCTGAGAGAGCTGCTTCACCCCAGAACCATTCAGCATTTCGATGATCTTAAGAGGGTAAGAACTGTGTCCGTGTTTATGTTTAACACAACCATTTTGTTGTAATGTGCTAGGATAGGTGTGTTATGATAAAGTGCCTTGTTGGGGAAGAACTCAAGAAGGGAACGTTCTTTATATTCCATGGAATTATCAGCACAAAAAGCTTTGATTGGTTTCAGAAATTGAGTGAGAATCATGTGTGCAAAAAATTCATGTAAATCTGAGGAATTTCAGACCTACTTTTCAATATGACGTGGTAGATCCAGATGTAGCAATATGATCATCAAGGGATATAACACTATCTGGATCCCCCAATGGTGGGATGAGGAGAAGGTCCCCATTCGTCAAAGTGAATCAAGTCAAAAGGTGCAACAGAAAAAGTATCATTTGATAGAAACTAAGGCATGTTGTTTGCAAGTAGCAACTGATGCTTACCATTGCTACATGCACATGCTTACACGAAACTGTGCAGAGATGGAGTTATTATTAAAATGCTGTTCAGCTAGTAGGGATGGATGGAAAGTACCATATCCAGTAATTCACTGAGGAGATATATACAAGTAACTAATACATGCTGTTCTTTTGGTCATTGGGTTCCATGAACATAACACAACAGCAATACGAGCTTTTATTCCAAGCTGGTTAGGGTAGGAAAGAATGAAGACGATCACACATTAAAAGGGCCTTTAATCCTGATAAAAGAAATAGTTTTCCCACCCTCCAAGTATCCATAAATGGAATTTGACATTAATACCTTACAGATTTAGTAGTTAATATATTATATGTGCATGCGAATATGAAGCCTTAGACCTTAGTGACTGGATACTGCATAACAATGGCTTATTTTAGGTCCTTTTAGCTCAATAACTTGATGTATGTCTTCTGCCATCCAGGATAAGAGAAAAGATGCTGTTAAAAAGGTGATTGCTGCTATGACTGTTGGGAAGGATGTTTCATCGCTCTTCACGGATGTTCTGAACTGTATGCAGACAGAAAATTTGGAGCTCAAAAAGCTTGTTTACCTGTATCTCATCAATTATGCTAAAAGTCAACCTGACCTGGCAATACTTGCAGTGAATACTTTTGTGAAGGCAAGAAGTAGGAGAAGCTCTGTTTTCACATTTACTAAATGCTTGCACCTTTTAGAGTTTTATCATTGGTGAATGTGATATATTCATGCTGTGCAATGTGCATGTTCCTGTATAATCGTTCTATGTCACAAGTGAATTAATAAAGTAACTAAAATATGTTTGCGTTGAGAGATCAGTTGCTTACTTCGATCATTACTTAGGTGATCTGCAAAACTTTACATGAAAAGAGAATGATTTGGCCAAATCATGCTGTTGATTACTTGATTATAACTATTATGTCTTTGGTGGCATTCTTTTCACTACTTTACTTAGGTGATCCATTGCTGAAAATTTTATTTATGCATCCTTTCGAGTTGATCATCTAACTAGTGTAATAAGCATGGATTGCTTGTACTCTTTCCTTCTTCATGACTATAGTTTGTATAAATAAGATGCGCCATCAACTTTGGTCTTCAGTCAACATAAAATGTTCTTAACTATTTATGAGCTAAACCCTTGGATTCTACTTCCTTTGTCACTTGGAATTGTTGTCTTAGGATGGATGTTCTCTAGACTTCCAGCTCATTCTTACTTATGTTTTGCATTCAAGATTGTAAATTTGTAATATCTTTGTATATTGCGTTTCCATACTTCTTGTTATCATCAAACATAGTTCATTTGATATATAGAGCACAAGTTTGTTGATGGTTTGTCAACCAAACGTGTTTTTCTTTTCTTCCATAAGTTGGTAATTCTACAAATTTTGTTATGCCACCAGACGCCTGGAAAACTGAATGTTTTGAATTAAAGTGCTGCAATGCTACTGCACCATAATGGACCCCAAACTAGAGCTATCAGAGAAACAATTTGAATTAATTCAGCCATTGTGGTTTATAGTCAACCGGTCTTCAGAGCAACCTATCTTCTGAATGTGATTATTATGGATTGAAATTCTTATTAGAGTCCTTATTAAAGATTTAATGCATAGGGGGCCTTCTTTATGCACATACTTTATTTTCTCCATTGAGTTGTTTAAGTCTATCAGTATGGGATCTTGCTTTCTACGTGATAGCACCTGGGACATGAACCTAGCACTGAAAAAACTACTAGCATCTTCATAATTTGCTTCACCACTTGAACATCAAAGCAACTCTTTTTTTGGCATTATTTTTCAAATCAAGTGGATAAATCTCTCTCTCATGAATCTAAGATGTATCAGGGCTGATTTAATCGATTTTCAAACGTTCATGAAATTCTTAGGTGAAATGAATCAAGGTTGTATGAATTAAATGTGTGTTGTCTTTTAATTTTTTGTTCTTCGAATATCTTAAACATATCATGTAAAAGACTTCAAATCTTCATAAGGAATCTCTGATAAAATTGGATTAAATGAATGTTACAGGATTCACAGGACCCAAATCCTTTGATTCGCGCTTTAGCTGTTCGAACAATGGGATGCATCCGAGTTGATAAAATTACGGAATATCTTTGTGATCCTCTCCAGAGGTGTCTCAAGGTAACATGATTTCCCTCTGTTGTTGGAATCTTTAATATATTGGCCAATCAGAGTTCTATAAGATGGTTTAACTTTCTACTCCCCTATATGGGCATCTTCGGTGTTATTTATTATCAGGATGATGATCCTTATGTTCGAAAGACAGCAGCTATATGTGTTGCTAAACTTTATGACATTAATGCCGAGTTAGTTGAAGATAGGGGTTTTCTGGAAGCTCTCAAGGATTTGATATCTGACAATAACCCTATGGTTGTAGCAAATGCTGTCGCTGCTCTTGCAGAAATTCAAGATAACAGCAGTAAACCCATCTTTGAGATCACCAGCACTACACTTACTAAGCTCCTTACAGCTGTAAATGAATGCACCGAGTGAGTGTGATTTCTGATATAATGCTCTATTAATAAAATGTGCTATAAAATAGATACTATGTTGTATTTTTTGTTGTCATATGTTTTGATCGGTTATTATTTTGTGTTTCTTAAATGTTGCTATAAACATGATGACAGGTGGGGTCAAGTTTTCATTTTAGATGCTCTTTCCAAGTACAAGGCAGCTGATGCTCGTGAAGCTGAAAATATTGTAGAGAGAGTCACTCCAAGACTACAACATGCAAATTGTGCTGTAGTTCTTTCAGCTGTTAAGGTGGCTTTGCTTTATTTTTTTGTATGTATCTGTCCTTTATTCATGTTCTGGTTTCTCTAGTCTTACTTTGTAGCATTATGCCTTGAAAGATGATACTTCAACAAATGGAGCTCATCACTAGCCCTGATGTGATTCGGAACCTCTGCAAGAAAATGGCTCCTCCTCTTGTTACCTTACTTTCCGCAGAACCAGAGATTCAATATGTTGCATTAAGGAATATCAACCTTATTGTACAAAGGCGTCCTACAATCCTTGCCCATGAAATTAAGGTATAATGGTTTAGCATTTGCTTCTTTCGGCCAGCATTCATATTAGTTTTAGGGTATATTATCTAAACCACACCTACTTTCTAGGTGTTCTTCTGCAAGTACAATGATCCAATTTATGTGAAGATGGAGAAGTTAGAGATCATGATAAAGCTTGCTTCGGATAGAAATATCGATCAGGTGACTAGAATGCTGTTAAAGCTAATTATGTCTTTGGTATAAATTTGTTCAATGGATCGTATCCTATATGGTGATACTCCTGGTGCATGTCCACAGGTATTATTGGAATTTAAAGAATATGCTACAGAAGTAGATGTAGATTTTGTCAGAAAGGCTGTTCGTGCTATTGGGCGCTGTGCTATCAAGTTAGAGAGAGCAGCTGAACGTTGCATTAGTGTTCTTCTGGAACTGATCAAAATTAAAGTAAATTATGTTGTTCAAGAAGCTATTATAGTCATTAAGGATATTTTTAGAAGATATCCTAACACGTAAGTTTTTGTTGCTCCATTTGTTAAGCTGCTAATTTTAATAGCTTTACCTCAAAATTTCTCTCTTAACTAAATTTTCACTTCAGTTATGAATCCATCATTGCCACCCTTTGTGAGAGTTTGGACACTTTGGATGAGCCAGAGGCCAAGGTACTGTGGAATTTGAGAGTTCTGCTCTAAGTAGAAACCTTACCAGCTGTCATTTTAACATCATTTTTAACAGGCATCAATGATTTGGATAATTGGTGAATATGCTGAAAGAATTGATAATGCTGATGAACTTCTAGAAAGCTTCCTGGAGAGTTTCCCTGAAGAACCTGCACAAGTTCAATTGCAGTTATTGACGGCCACAGTCAAACTTTTTCTTAAGAAGCCAACTGAAGGACCGCAGCAGATGATTCAGGTAACATTGTTGAATATAAGGTTGTGTTTCTGTATTTTCAAACAACCAGACCTCGCCTCTGTGTGGGATATACAGGGTTCGTTTGGTTTGGTTTTCTATAAACACTTGTTTAAGATCACAGCCAGGTTTCCTTTTCCTCGTATTGTCTTATAATAACAACCTGCTTACTTCCCTGCACCGGACGACGCATGACTATTTTACGATTGTTAACTTCCTTTCACCAATTAAAAGGTGTCCTGATCTCCTAGAGCGCTTGAGTAATCTGTCCATCCATTAGCTAGGTGGCAAAATGGAAGGGGTGGGCTGGTTGGGTAATCGGTCAAATAAGTTTGGGTCAAAAAGGGGAAGTTTTTACTGGGTTGGAATGGGTTGGGTAGGGTCAACATGCAATTTGTCCTCTTTTGGATTTTGTAAATAATTAATGTGTTAAATATGATTAAAAAACTATATTGTCATATAATCTAATTTTTTTATATAATCCTTTTTGAATGTTGTAGATCGTTATATAATCTCATATTTTTAAGCAAGTGATTAGGAGGTTGTATGCATTTGAAATACACTTCAGGTGACTTTCAACCATTGGAGTATTTGACCCATTAGACTTGTTTCCTTTTTTAGCTAAGTTTTCATTTTACCCACTTGATCTGTTAGAGTAAATACAACTCCAAATTGACCTCCTTACATGTAAAAAGGGTTGAAATGGGCACCTTTGTTGGTGATTTTAGTGTCATCAGACATTTTGGTGTAATTGAGATTGACTTGAGATAAAAGAAGATTCAAGGTAGAGCATTAAGACAAGTTTGGTGATGCGGAGTGCACGCTTATGTATGCTTCCTTGAACCTTAGATCACCATATAGCGGGAGTCAAGGAGACTGCGCTTATATATGCCTCCTTGGTGAAACAGTATGCATAAGTTACTTCATCAGTGCAGGTGGCAGTGGATGGGTATCAGCGGCAGTGTCAGCTGATAACCATGAGCGGTAGTGGCAGCTCATAACCATCAGTCTCAGCTGATGACCATGAGCGGCAGCATCAGCTGCTGCACATTTAGTGGGAGCATCAGCTGATGTCTTCAGTTGGCGAGAGTTTGGATTATCCCGATACAGATTTTGTGTAACCTTAGGCTTGAAGGGTCKAAATATTGAATTTGGAAAGTGTTCTCCGATACACTATCCAAGATTTTATCCGAATAATCATTACCACGAACAATTAAATATTAACAACCTCTACCTCATTCCATGAGGGCATATTAAACATAAAGACTCGATGGCTTTAATTTGCATCAGGTATGTCTGTTTGTGGATCTGTGCTAATATTTTTATGCTTGTGTGTATTGAGAAGCATCCTGGAAAATGTCCGAGAAGGCTACTGCCACATCTTAATGTCAGGGTCTTACCTCATGTTTGCCTTGCGGCTCTGTTAAAGATTTGCATCTTTTGGCCAAGATAGCATACACCTGCTTATGCCCATAATTTCTACACTTCAGTATAATGGAAGATTTGCTATATAACTCAAACCCAGTCTTTTCACATTTTGCAATTGCACTTGGTGATCAGTTTTCCTTCACTACCTTCTTATGCCTATTTGTTTCTGCACTCTTTTGCATGCATTACTTTATGTTGGGAGCATTAAGAAATTATGACATGATACATTTAGTTTACTGATTTACAAAGCAGTGTATTTGCTTTGGTCTGATTCCTCATGGGATCAGATAATAACACATCTTATAATCAATCATATGAAAGGACAATATGTGTCCATTACAACAACACTTGTGCTAAACATTTTTACTTGTAAGTTCAAAATATCAATGATGAGTTTTTGTGTGAAACTTCTTCTGTATATCTATATAGCTGGATCTGGTTTAAATATATAGTTGTCTTTGTAGGTTGTTTTGAATAATGCCACTGTGGAGACTGACAATCCAGATCTGCGAGATCGTGCTTACATATATTGGCGTCTTCTTTCAACCGACCCTGAGGTTCGTATTCATCAAGCTACTTCATGCTATCTTCTGATGACATTAAGCTCATACGTTCCATTGTTGTTGTTGGAGTCCCACAACGGCTAGACTTGGACCATTTCTCCTATATATATGTTGGAACCTCCCTTTCCTCCTTAAGGAGTCTTTTAGAGTGATCTAGGGGTTCCACATATTCTCACATGGTTTCATAGACAAGGTCTGCCACTCTAGGGACCCAGCACTGTGGTTAGCCCCCTCTCGATACTCCAGGACAATCTGTGTCCATGTAGCCTTCGTTGTAGGGGGCGTGTTGGAGTCCCTCATCGGCTAGACTTGGACCATTTCTCCTGTATATATGTTGGAACCTCCCCTTCCAAAAGGGCTCTTTTGGAGAGTGGTCTGGGGGTTCTATGTATTCTCACAGTTGTCACTTTGGAACCTTTAAAAAATTTAATCCAAAAATCTAGGCCATCCTTTTCCATATCAAACGTTTTAAGACATCTTATTTACCTTTCTTAAAACCTACATAGTTTTTTTGCATCATTGAGAAACAATGATCTTTGTCTTGCTTAAATGTTAAATCTAGGGGAACTGAGGCTATGTTTGGCAAACTAGCTGAAAGCTAGCTGTTAGCCGAAATAATAGTTGATGGCCGATAAGTTAGCTGATAGTTGAAGAGCTAGTTGTTGGCTAATTAGAGCATCACCAACAGTTTCCCAAAGGTTCTCCAAAATAGAGAATCAAAATTCAAAATCTCTAAAAAGAATTGCATTCAACTCCAACAGCTTCTCCATTTTGGAGATTACACCATTAATTATATTATTAAAATATTTCATACATTTAATAAAATATTATTTCTCTCTCCTAAATATTTAATTTCAAGGTTTTTTATTGGTGGAATATAATAAAAGAATATTTATCTCTCATGGTAATCATTTTTGGGGAGTTCTCCAAATTTGGAGAAATTCACTTTCTTTCCTACTTTCTCCATTTTCCAGAAAGTTTTGGAGCAAAAAATTGCCTAAAATCTCTATTTTCTCCATTTTGGAGAATCGATTGGAGATGCTCTAAGGTAGCTCTCAGGTGATAAGCCGGCTGAAAAACTAGTCATGTTTGGTAAAAACTAGTTGATAAGCTTGAAGACAATGTAAAAGGAACATGTTGAAAAATTAATTGAAACATACAAGGGGCATAATTGGGAAAAAATAGAAAAAAGCCCTTAGCTTATTGAAACACTACTTGAAATAGCGGTTTGAAAAGCTAGCTTATGTCCAACTAAATGGGGTTTTCTTTAGTAAGCTCAAAAAATAAGCTAGCTTATGGTTGCCAAACATGGCCCAAGAGGCTTGTGTTTTTCTCCTTGTTCATCCATTAGATATCTTTTGCTTCTTGGTTCCTTCAATGTGTCGGGACTTGTAGATCCTTATATTCTGATGACTTGCATTATATATATATTAGGCTGCTAAAGACATCGTGCTAGCTGAGAAGCCAGTGATCAGTGATGATTCAAATCAATTGGATTCATCCCTCCTTGATGAGCTTCTTGCAAACATCGCTACTTTATCCTCCGTGTATCACAAACCCCCTGAAGCATTCATAACCCGCGTGAGAACTGTTCAGAAAACAGAAGAGGAAGAATTCCCTGATGGAATCGGAGGTGGGTATCCCGAGTCATCATCTACACTGGTTGCTGATAATAGTGCACCACCACTGCCTACTTCAGGCGCATCTCCTTATGCTGCAGCTATGCTGCCAACTACTGTACCTGCCGCTCTTGCTCCGGTGCCAGATTTACTTGATCTTATGGGTCTCGATGGTGGTGATGATAATGCTATTGTCTCAGTTGATCAGCCTGCAACGCCTACTACAGGGTAAGTGTCAAAGACTGGTGATAAAACGTCATTGGCTTATGGGGAAAATGTATCAAAATGCAGTAAAGTCTTTTTAGTTCCTATTTAGTGTGACGATTTTTTTTCCCGATCAATGTAACTTAAGTTTTAAAATTTTCCATTTTGTACCCACTGACTAGTAACCTGTTGAGAGGGAGGTTCAGGGGCAAACCCCCCAAAAAATGAAAAACGGAGGAACATGGTAACCATTCATCTGGATAGTATGCACATGTGCATACAAGTAATTGAAGTTGTTTCTTGGTTTTTATGCACGTGCACATGTTACACACATGTGCATACTGGACAAATTGCTTACAAATTACTTGCATGCACATGTGCATATCCTTCAGATGAACGGTTACCCGGGTGTTCCTCCGGGTGTTCCTCAGTTTTACATTTTTTTCCAGTTTTCCCCTGAACCTGACCCAACCTATTGATATTGTAACATTTGATGATGTGGATACCCGTTTGTGAAATGTTCAATGGACGATAAACTTAACATCCATGTCATCAAATGTTACAAAATCAACATGTTAAGAGGTAAAGTGGGGTAAAGAATAGGAAAATTTGAAACCTTATAGCATCGACTGAGAAAAAAAACAACTCTTTACTAAATAGGAACTAACGCAAACTTTGTTGCATTTTGATGCATTTTGCGCGTGGCTTTATAGTAACTTTAGCATAAAATACCAAATTATGTGTGCACGAATTCACAAACTGTTTTGTACTATCCCAGGCCACCTCTACCTATTCTATTACCAGCGGCAACTGGTCAAGGTCTAGAAATTGGTGCACAGCTGGTACGAAGAGATGGTCAGATATTTTACAGTTTAATGTTTGAGAACAACACAAACATCCCACTGGATGGATTTATGATTCAGTTCAACAAGAATACATTTGGTCTAGCAGCAGGTGGACCACTCCAGGTGCCTACTATTGGACTGCAATATCCCTCTATCCTTCCCTCTGCATCTTTTTTTTATATTATATAATAATTATATGGGAAAAGTCTGAAAAAGAACCTGATGGACTTTCATATTTTGAGCAATTAAGTTCTTGGACAATTTTCCCAAACTAAATCCTTGCACTTACTGCAACCGAACAAATTGATCATTTTGACCTATAAAACCGGTTAATGTGGTAAAATCATGGGAAAAATCAGAAGAAGAAAAAACCAACAGACTTTCATGTTTTGAGCGATCAAGTCCCTGGTTTTTTTTGGGTTTTCTCTGACTTTTCCCTCCTATAAACCTGGTTAATGCGGTGAAATCATGGGGAAAATCTGGAAAAAAGAAACCAATTGACTTTCATAATTTGTCATTTGAGCGATCAAGTCCCTGGACATTTTTTGGGTTTTTTTTCCGGACCTTTCCCTCCTATAACCTGGTTAATGCCATAAAATCATGGGAAAGTCGGAAGAAAAAACAATGGACTTTCATATTTTTAGCGATCAAGTCCCTGGACATTTTTTGGGTTCTTTTTCAGACTTTTCCCTCCTATAAACCTGGTTAATGTGGTAAAATCATGGGGAAAATCCCGAAAAAAACCCAACGGACTTTCATATTTTGAGCGATCAAGTCCTATGACCTTTTTTGGCTTCTTTTCAGACTTTTTTGTCCTGTAAACCTGGTTAATGTGGTAAAATCATGGGAAAATCCAGAAAAACAAACGGACTTTCATAATTTGAGCGATCAAGTCCCTGGACATTTTTTGGTTTTTTTTTTGACTTTTCCCTCCTATAACCCTGGTTAATGCGGTAAAATCATGGGAAAATCCAAAAAACGAAAACTAACGGACTTTCATATTTTGAGCGATCAAGTCTCTAGACATTTTTTTGGTTTTTTTAGACTTTTCCCTATTTATATACTTACACATGCTCCTCGTCTTTGGTGAAATTTGAACCTTGTAACCTGGATAACGCTGTTCCAATGACCCTTTGGTTTCTCGCTGCATTTTCTTGTTGATTTTGAACCAAATCTATTTTTATTCAGGTCCTACAAGTTCAACCAGGAACAACCGCAAGAACCCTTCTTCCTATGGTTTTGTTCCAGAATATAGCCCCAGGTCCACCAAACTCGGTTTTGCAGGTTGCGATAAAGAACAATCAACAGCCTGTATGGTACTTCAACGATAGAATATCGTTACTTGTGTTGTTCATGGAGGATGGAAGAATGGAACGATCTACCTTCCTCGAGGTAACATAACTCTTTGAGTTTTCTGTATACACTCCTCTGTGCAATTTGATTTTTGTGATAAAAAAAACCATCTTTTTCGACTATTTTCATGATTTTTTGGTAATTACATCAAATTTTTACATCACATTGGTGTTAAATCTGTTACATAACACATTAAGGGGGTGTTTGGGATTGCTTATTTGAAACAACTTATGTTTTTCTACAAAAAGTCCTTATTAACTTATTATAAGTTAGAATGGTTTAACTTCTTCAAAAACTCTTTATTACCAGTTTAAGTTGTTTATCCAAACACTCAAAAGTGCTTATTACCGGTGTCACACCGGAATAAGTCAATAAGTTGTTTTTATAAGCAATCCCAAACACCCCCTAAATCTGATTTTGGAGAAGTAGTAAGTTTGACCCGTATACAAAGCACTTATCCGTATACCACTTATCCCCAAACTCCATGCCCCCTTCCTGTCCACCAATCAACCTCTGACACATCATTACTTTATTGAAGAGAGAATAAAATGATAATAAAATAAAATAATGACGTGTTAAGAGTTGATTGATGGGATAGAGAGAGATTGTAGTAAGTTTGGGTACACGTGATTTTTATTTGATTTGACCCCAGATGAAAAAGTTTCCCCTTCTTCTGGGAATAGATATGTTGTTAGAACATCTCCAAGAGATTCTCTATAATTTCTTTAAAATAAAGAATCAAAAGTTAAAATCTCTAAATTACATTCAACTGGGCCGTTTGGTTTGCGGAATTCGATGGAATTTGATGGAATTAGAATGACAAATTTTTTTGACCAGATTCCAATTCCTTTGTTCGGTTCATTTCTTAAAATTGATGGAATCTTTCAAATTCCATTGAATTCCACGAGTTAATGAATTCATCATTTCTTGGTATAATGGTGGTTGGTAGGGTGTGGGCAGGGCGATGGGTGGGATAGTCCATACAAAGACGATTGTTCCAGTTCTATTGATAGACTTTCCAATTCCTACCAACCAAACGCGTGGTCAAATTCTATTCCAATTTCTTCAAAGTCAAATTCCGTTGATGGATTCCAATTCCATCAAATTTCATTATGTGAACCAAAGACTCCCTAACAGATTCTTTATTTTAGAGATTTCAACATTAATTATATTATTAAAATATTCTATAATTTTGAATCCACACTTTTCTCTAAACCAAACACAGGATTGGAATGGAACTCAATTCCAAATCCTATCAAATCCCGCAAATCAGACGGTGCCTTTGACTTTAGGACACTTATTTTGGAACGTAGACATTTAACTTTTGAAAGTGGACACTTATTTTGGAACAGAATCAGTAGTTGTTTGTTGATTTCATCAGTATCCGACATTTTTGCAACTGTTATTTTCAGACATGGAAGTCCCTACCCGATTCCAGCGAGGTCTCAAGGGACATTCCAGGCATCGTGACCAACAGCGTGGATGAAATCATAGAGCAGTTGGGTTCTTCCAACATGTTCTTCGTTGCCAAACGTAAGAACGAGAATCAAGATGTTTTATATCTCTCTGCCAAAATCCCGAGAGCAATTCCGTTCTTGATCGAACTTACGGCCGTCATCGGTGTTCCGGGACTTAAGTGTGCCATCAAATCTCCAAGCCCTGAAATGGCTCCATTATTCTTTGAAGCCCTTGAAACTCTCCTCAGAGGTTGATTCATATTTCCTTCATTATTTTCCCACGGAAACTCCATGGTTCTGCATGCTGTAATTTGAGCCTTTTGTTCTGTCCCATTTTAGAGCCATTTTTAAAATTTAAAAAGAAATTGTATTAAACTTCGTTAGTTTATGATAAAAAAAAAACTCTTAAAAACCATTTTTTATACATGAAGTACTGTTTATTGATACATATTATTTAAAATTCAAAATTACAAGCAAATTGTACGTAAGTACAATTTATTAAAGTTTCATTTTGAATTTGTGTAACTAACTACATATAAACATAATCAAATATAGGTTAAATATTTCATTTTAAATATAAAAAATCTAAAATATAATTAGGATAATCATTAACATTCAAGAGAATACTTAATTATTATCTTTATAAAAAAATTATATTATTAAACCCGAAATAAATTACTTCGTTATTAAATTATAATAAAAAAATTCAATTAAAGAAATAGTTAATTTGATTTTAATATCAATATCTTTTTTCAAGTTTTTTTATGAGATCTTTAAATTTATTTTTTATTCAAACATAAAAACATTATCATTTTCTTAAAGCCATATAAAATCGTGTTATAATATTGATAGAGATAGAGAATATAAAAAACTAAAAAATCGATATGTATCTCGTTGCATTGCACGAGTATCCTTCTAGTAGAATTAGAATATTAATGTATTTAATATTTTAACAAACTATTTTATGGTAATTCTCTTCGTTAGCCATTCTAGACCCTCCTAGTTCATATTTATAACCATTTTTCTACTCGATTGAAACAGTCTAAGATTTTGTAAATAGCATTTTAATAACTTGTGAAACATGCCTTTATAAATTTGATATTCATAAAATAACACTTTAGCAAGTTGCTAAAGTGCTACTTGCATATACTGACATGGAAAGTAGCACTTTAGCAAGTTGCAAAACTGACACCTCTACATCATAATTTAGCAAGTAGCACTTCAACAACTTGCAAAGGTGTTAAATAGTATATTTTATTAAGCTGCTAAAATGTTACTTGCAAAATCTTGACTATTCAGTCAATTGAGTAGAAGAACGGGTATAATAAAGTGAACAAGGATATGCAAAATGACTATTTGGACAATTTCCCATCCACACTCCTGCAATAAGGTTGATTCGATGATTATCCTAATTTCTCACATTTAACAATACCCTTTTTTGGAAAATTTACTCGCAAAACTCCAATAGATGCTATTAATTTACACATTCAACACCTAAAACGATGCAAAATAGAGCTACGAACTTGGACTTTATAGACCGAGATAGGGCAAATATTACAGGGTTACAAATGAAGCAACGAATGTCGAATTGGTTGCTTGACGATCAAGGTTTCCTATCTCTAGGGTTACTTGGTTCGTAAGTAAGAGCTAAATCGGGGTTGGTTAGCGTACACTAAAACAAGGATATATGTGTACGATTAGATTATACAAACAAAGCGCACACGGATCTCCTCAACTTCGATCCCTACTGTTTGTTCTTCTGGATTTCTCTCTTTTTGCAGCATGAATGAACTCCATTATCACTTCAAGTTCACTCACTCGCTGTTGCATTCAAACACACACAGATCAATCACCTTCATAATAAACCCTAAACCCTATACCCTAAAAATTGTGTTTGAGATACCTGTGAAGCAAAATGCTTTTGGATGGCATCAACCAGTTGTTCCTTTGTTGGATTAGGCTGAATGTTTCCCTATAAAAAGATGAAATCATTTCCACAATGAGATATTGAATAAACCAGATATACCCAATATATCTCACTGGGAAGTAGGGTCTGGGGATAAAATGTATGCAAATGTCTGTACTCAAAAGAGTAGAGCGGTTGTCTGTGTGAAGACCCCCCCCCCCCCTCGGGCTGAATGTTCTTTTCCTAGGGTGAAATGCATCAAAAAGTAAGAAAGTTCGGTTTAGTTCCTACTCTCTCTGTCCCAAAATAAATGTCCACAGTAAAAAAGGCACATGGATAAAAATTTACCCTTAATTATACAGAGAGAAATTTTATCCACCTTAGGGTAAAATGGGAACATGGAGATTTACTGTTGAAAGTTTGACATTTATTTTGGAACAAACTAAAATAGTAATGTAGACACTTATTTTGGGATGGAGAAAACATTTAATATACTTCCTTCATCCCAAAACAAGTGTTCACATTCTATTTTAGTTTGTCAAAAGAATAAGTGTCCACTTTCCCATTTTACCCTCAATTATGAGATGAAAAAAAGTTTTCTTGATTATTAAGGGTAAAAGTGTCATTTTTATTGTGGACGTTTATTTTGGGATGGAGGGAGTAACAAAGATTTCTTATTTTTTCTTATTTTCTTTATTTGTAACCTACCAATCTTGTAAAATTTAATGACATGGATACTCGTTTACATGGTAACAACAAAGTGGACAATTAACTTGATATCCACGTCATCAAATGTTACAACTTTAGCAGGTTACAGGTGAAAATAAGAAAAAAAAAATAGGAAATTTTAAAACGTGGTTCGCTAAGAATAGGAACTAGGACAAACTCGATTGCAGTTTGATGCATTTTACCCTTTTCTTTCTATTACAAGATCTTGTAACGAGATCGAGTAAAGATTGTATCCGACTTACAAGGTTGAAGGTGCTATAATATCGCCACAACGTGTTGGTTCCAAGCTTCGCAAAGTTGACTTTCTGCTCGGATTAACACACGAAAAAACCAAGAAATTTAACGAATGCATTGCAATTTGCAAGAAGATGGTTCATGTTTCCTACTTACGCAATTCGACCATTTAGGTCAAAGTCAAACATACGAATTCTCATATCGCCGTTTCCATGGATTCCGTTGCAATTTTACAAATTGCAACGGATACCCCGGAGCATACGTTCATAAAGTTTATTCTGCTTGCCGAAATTTCTCAAAAGTTCGAATATTTGATCATTTGATTTGTGTTGGAAATATATATGTTTGACCTCAAAAGTCAAATGTACATCTTGATTGTGTTTCTTGAAAAATAAGTGTGTTTTCAAGAAAGCTATAAAAATTGGTATTTTCTTTTCTACTTACCGGATAATATGGATGGATATTGGATTGCGCTTCTCGGCAACTCGTACGATTAATAGGCTTTGTTGACGGAGATGGACCCCACGGTTTTGCGTAGCGAACTCTAGGCTTGCTCGGTTTATTGAACTCCATAGTAGCGGCTGCCACCAAAATTGTAGAGCAAGTTAAAAGGGAGAAAATGGGTTCCAAATGAATAGATTGAAGGAACTGAATATCCCAATGGGACCCTGAAGATAACAGTCACGAAAATCTTCAGTGGTAAGTCTAAAAAATCCTCGGAGGCCCCGAGGATAACAGTCTGAAAAATCCTCAGTGCCTTAAGCATAACATGAGGATAATAGTCTGGAAAATCCTCAGTGCCTTGGCCCTGATATCTAGTCTACTTGACTTAAGTATAAAAGCGAGTTTGCCTCTGTAAATCTTAACATCTACAGACTCTAACAGGGCAGTCGAAAAAATCCTCAGTGGCATATCTGGTCTACTTGCAGTTAAGTATAAAATGAGCCTATCAAGTCTTGACATCTAAAAACTCGAACCGGCAACCTATAGGGAGGAGCCCCGAGGCTTGGTCTTATATCATGGAATTCTTGGTCTAAACTTACCAAAGAAATTGTCTTTTTCGCCAACGTCAGAGCCACAACTAGAATTGTCGAATTCGTAATCGCCATCTTCTTCGTGACCCGTAGGGGGTTCAAGAACACTCAAAGCATTCCGTTGCAGCTTCACTTCCACTCCATTCTTCAGAACCTAGAAAACAACGAACATGGCACGGGGAAATAAACTTACAAACGATTTACGATGCCATTCATTCTACATGAAACAACGCTCTTTCCCTCCATTCCTCCATTTCGTAAATCTTTATAATTGAACTAAAAATCAAGAAACGAGTTAAGGGAGTACCAGCCAATGCCAGCCACCGAGGCCAACAGCCTTCTTCACGACGCCTTGTAGACCGACCAAAACAGATTTCGTTCGATTGTTTCCCGTCACAATAACTTTCGTATGCCTAGGAAGAACCGAAAGCTCTTCATCGCCACTTTCTTCTCGAAAATGTGAAAATATCCGCGACGAATAAAGCTCGGGTTCCAGCATTCTTCTTAAATCTTTATCACAAATCTTCGAAAACCCAATACCTTCTTCTTGGCTGTATCCAAAATTTCCAAAATCCTTATCACAAATCTTCCAATTTTTTCCAAGATTTCAAGAACAATCACAACCCCTAATATTTCTAAAGCTAATGACACAATCCCATCATGATCACCTCAAATTTCATGATTTTGGATTGAAATTTGATCATCTTGACATAACTTCATATGGGTCTAAAAGGTAATTGAAACCAATGATTGATTTTCGAACCTTTAGACTTGGCGTTTTTAACGACAAAAAAAAAACGATTGTTCTTGCAAAAATGCTAAAAGGACATTAAACTTTGCAAGAATAATTGAGTTTCGAAAAAAGTGCCACCTACCATGACTACGTTTGGCAAACTAGCCGAAAGGTTAGCTGTTTAGCTGATAAACTAGTCATATTTGGTAAAAACTAGCTGTATCAGTTATATGACAATGTAAACTGACATGTTGAAAATTTAATTGGAAAACCATAAAAGGTATAGTTGGGGTGAAAAAAGTGGAAAAAAACGCTTGTCAACCTACTGAAACGCTACTTGAAGTAGTTTTTCAAAAACTAGCTTATGGCAAGCAAAATAGAGCTTTTTCAACCTTTTTTGGAGGGGTATCTCAGGCTTTGCCCCAACTAATCTCGGCAATTGCAACTGTAAGACAACATCCCTGACAAACTCAATAGCCACAAGTGTTATGGACGTCTGGAATCGAATCCAGAGCAGATGGGATATTCCACCAATTTCCCTGGCCTCAACCCCTACGCGACAACCCTTGTGATTATATCTGTTCAACCTTGCAAGCCATAGCGGTGCTATTTTCATAAATAAAAAAAACAACCGTTAGTTTGCAACAAAAAGTCGAACCCGCTTATTTAAACACCCAAAAAGCTCCAATAGTTATATATATCTAAAAGAGATTAAAGATTAAAGGGTGTACCCACAAATAATTCAGACCCTTTTGAGATAAAGCCAACTTGAAATGATTCATTTGTGAATAAGGGTTCTTCTCTTCTTTATATGCATAAGATTTTTGAATCTTTAAATCATCTGACAGAATGCAGTTTAAGAAGAATGTTGAATGCAATATGACCCACATTATTCATTACATTTCCATACCATTCACATGACTTCATTTGGTTGCAATCAATGAATCAAACAAATATACACATCATCATCATCATCATAATAATAATAATAATAATAATAATGATAATAATAATAATAATAATAATGAGTCATCTTTAGAAAAAGATTATTATATTTGTTAAAATGATGCATAATCATTTACAAACCACAGATCGTATAAATCAGTTTTTATGTGTTGTTTGCAGCATTTATTCAGCGGCTGTTTGATTCAGACAGGGGGAATGAAAATGAAAATGAGAATGAATACAGTTTAAACCGGAACTGAAAATTTGGGCTTATCGGGAATAAACTCATTATATTATATAAAATCAAACAGTTTCTTTTATATAAAACCTAATTCTGTTCACTTGGATCTTTAAACTCATGAGCTTTACACCCATTAAAACAATCTTGAAAAAAGCTGAATAAAATCCCCAATTTGATCAAATCAATTCAGAAATCACCAAAAAAACAAGAACCCACAAACATTGATCCAGTAATCACTGAGAATAAATACACAGGACCAATTTAAAATGCAAATTAAATTATTAAAAAAATCCCAAAATTTTCCCACATTACACAGACCCATTTATCCATTTAAACTCCAAATTAATTCAGCAGATTAATATAATTATTAATCAAGCTTAAACTGAGATATATATATATATATATATATATATATATATATATATATAAAACATTCTTGAGAAAACTGAACAATATCCCCAAATTTGATCAACTTAATTCAGAAATTACTAAAAAAACAAGAAACCACAAACATTGATGCAGTAATTACTGAAAATAAATACATAGCATCAATTTAAAATGCAAATTAAATTATGAAGAAAAAATCCCAAAATTTTCACAAATCACACAGACCCATTTATTCATTTAGACTCCAAATCAATTCAACAGATTGATATAACTACTAATCAAGCTTAAACTAATACAAAACTGATATACATATATATGTATGTATATGTATATATACACATATATATACATTGACTATCAGACACTAATTACCTGGAACAATACAGAATTTTAGCAGAGAACCTCCAAGAAGGTAGGCAAATGGAGAGTGAAAAGGGGTTTTGGGGGATGAAGAATTCGAATTTGGGATCAGATTGGGGTGAAAATATTGGATTTTTGTTGGGTTTCTGGGGGGGGGAAAATGTAAGACTTTATAAAAGGGTTTTGAGGTTTATGATGATTGAGGAAAGGAATTCATCAATCAATCAATATTCTTTGATGTTGGATTATACAGAGGATATGAATTTAGAGAGAGAAAGTGATGAGAGAGATAGAGTACACACATACACACACTAAATGCTTACCAACTGCCATTGGAACGACCTGCAAATGAATAAGACATACACACACACTGTGTGTGTACGGTACATAATTTTGCTTTCAGATTGACCGGTTTTACCTGCTAATGCCGGTTTTACATAAATTTGAGCCGGTTTCCATTTTAAGCTCGGCTCGTGAGTTGGGGCGCGCGCCTTAGCTACAAGTAAAATTCTATACTACTTGATACAATTCTTTTACTTTAAAATTTTGAAATTCAAGTTTAAATTTATATTATATTATAAAAATGTTTAATAAAAACTCTTAAAAATCATCTTTTACATATGAAGTACTGTTTATTGATGCATATTACTTAAAATTTAAGATTACAAATAAATTGTATGTAAGTACAGCTTATTAAGTTCTATATTTGAATTCGTGTAACTAACTGTAGATAAACATAATTAAATACAAGATAAACTTCTCATGTTAAATATAAGATCTAAAATATAATCAGGATAATTATTGAGTTCTAATAGAATACTTAGTTATTATCTTTATAAAAAAATTATATTATTAAATCAATTCGTTATTAAATCTAAACTAAATTATAATAAAAAAAATTGAATTAAAAGAATTACACAAAAAAATGATAACTTTCATATATATTTTTTTAATTTTTATGATATTTTGAAATTTATATTTTATTAAAAAGGAATTATTGTTTGCTCAAAAACCACATAAAGTTGTATTATAACATCGACAGAGACCAAAAAAATAAAAACAAAACATTGAAATTAAGATATATCTTTTTACATTGCATGAGTATCTTTCTAGTAACCTTCTAAGAAAATATGAATTTATTTTTCTTTTAATAAATAAAAAGATCATATATTAATTCAGATATCATTTAAAGTTATATACCTAAATTGCCCTCGAAAAAAAACACTTCATATGAAAAAGATTGCAGTACTTATCTCCGAAGCCACCCCTCAATTATATTAAGAAGTCGTTTATAAACGCTCACAAGCAAAAGTTATCGCGTTCGTTTATCTTATCGAGTAACATTATCGGTCATCAAAATGTATTTTTGGTCTTTTACACGATAAATGTCGTTCACCGTGTAATATTTCTATCATTTCTATGCATCTTACTTGGTAAGATTATCGGTCATTATGATGCTTACCCTCAGTAAGCAAGCAGGGATTGACCCATAATTTTTTTTCAAACGGTGGCACCATTTGACTATAAGAAACAAGTATAGGATTTTCCATAAAATTATCATTAATTTAGTGTTTAGTTTATTGTTTTACGATTGCATTTTTGGTCCATATGGTCTGTTTAAAGACCAATGAATTCTTCATAATGGTTGCTAACTAACATTGTTAAATAAATGGACCATTTTGGAGAATCTGTTAGAGCAAAAAGTTGTCCAAAATCTTCATTTTCTCTATTTTAGAGGATATGTTAGAGATACTCTCGTATTTAACGGTTTCCCCATTTTGAAAAAGAAATGGATAATTAGTTTGAGAAAAGAATTGCCCAAAATTATCTGTTTTTGAGAATCTATTGCATATGCTCTTATCTATACTATATTATAAAGCATTCGATAAAAACTCTTAAAAACTACTTTTTATGCATGAATTACTGTTTATTGATGCATATTATTTAAAATTCAAGACTACAAGTAGATTGTGCTTAAGTACAACTTATTAAAACTCTATCTTTTAATTATTGTGAATAATTGCGGATAAACATAATCAAATACAGGATAAACATCTCATTTTAAATATAATTAAGATAATCATTAAATTCTAACAGAATACTTAATTATTATCTTTATAAAAATTATATTATTAAACCTAAATTAAATTATAATTAAAAATTTTGAATTAAGAAAATTACACCAAAATACAATAACTTTTAGAAATATTAATTTGATACTGATATCGAAATTTTTTTTTTTAAATTATAATATTTTTAAGTTTATATTTTATTCAAAAATAAAAATATTACCACTTTCTCAAAATCACATAAAACTGTATTATATCGACATAAAAAGTGGAATAAAACGAAACACTGAAATCAACATGTGTCTCGATGCATTGCACGAGTACTCTTCTAGTTACACAATAAGACATCATTTTTTAACATATGCCACATATTTGCAATAAGATTCAATTATATTTAAAGAAACCGAAAAACATGTCTCTGTTTATGTAGCCATCACTCAAGTATGCACAACATTAACTTATTATATGTCATTTCAGGAGTCGTTTACTGATGATGACGACCAGACAAAAGTCGTCATCATCACTTACATTAGTAGATAAAATTCTCGACAATTGAAATTACATAGCAAGATTATTGGTAAATGCTAACCGGGTGGCAATCACCGTCATCAATTATTGTGTATGATTTTCGGTCTCACCTGGTAAAGTAAGTGATACGGTTAACCATATGGGATGTTTGGTTGGTTTTCTACTAAGCCTTGTATGAATTAATCTGTCTATATAGATTAAGAAGGTTTTGTTTGGATGTTTGGTTGGTTTTCTACTAAGCCTTGTATGGATTAATCTGTCTATATAGATTAAGAAGGTTTTGTTTGGAAAGGTTTTTCATAGATAGAAGGTACGTGTTTTTTAATTGAGAAATATACGTTTGGAAAAGACTTGACTCCCCATAAGCTTACTGATTACACCATTTCAATATCATTAAGTCACTATTAAACAATCATATATAATTGACCGAATAAGTTGTGACTTTTTTTAAACTGGTAACGAACTTACCCAAGGGGTTGTTTGTTTACCTTTTAATAGTTCAACCTCTGTATCGTTAAAAGATGAATCTTATTTGTAAAAAAAAAAATTACGCCTCTTAATGATTCTAAAACTCTCTAAATGATTTTGTATAATGGGTATATCTTAACCATTCAGCACCCTAATTTATTTGTAAACAATTAACAAACAATTATATGTTATTTTGCACTATATCATGAGAGCATCTTAATCATTTCGATGACTTAAGCATCCTATATCAAACCATTCAGTAACTGTTAAATAGTCTCTAAATAAGATTAATATTAGGGAATATGACAAAACTTACCACTTTATACAACCATCTTCCACAAAATAACCATTTTTTAGGGATTTACAAAACTAACCACACGGATCGCCCCCGGGGGTGATCCATACATTTCGGGGCGATCCGCCCTTTTTCTTAAAAAAATTTTAATTTTTTTTTTGTCTACTTAGGGCGAGCCACGTCATCGGATCGCCCCAGGCTTTAAGTATTTTTTAAAAAAAAAATTGTAACACAAATTTCACTATAAATACCAACCTCTTATTTCATAATTTTTCACACATTCCCTTTCATTTCTCTTCTCATATATTCTACTCTCACAACCCTTAACCCATTAAACACAATAAACCATCACAAAACATGAAATCACGTAAAAGTGATGATGTTTGAATGTATCTTCGAAGTGGCGGTAACATTTTTATATATAGAGATGCATTACGTAAAAAAAGCGATATAAACGGTACAAAAATTGAAACTTCGTATTTTATACGTATATTTG